AAACCATCTTGTACCTATAATTATTGAGCTATACATTTTTAACAAATATAGCTTATGGGTTGAACGAATTGAATTGGGGTGGAATCAACTTTGCATGTGAGATGGAGTGAAGTACATTAAATCCTCGTTAGTAATTTTTTTCTTTACCATTGATATATTTTTTTTCTTTTACCTTTTTTTAGTACTACATAAAATAAGGCAAATTATGTACCCTGTACAGTTTTATACAATTCCAACACATAGACAACCATGTTTTTCTATACAGATATTTTCATATTAAACTATCATATCAAAAAAATATAAATAAGACTATATACATTTCTATTAATAATTTTTGGTGCACAAAATATAATGGGCACAAAAGCTTCAAACACATCATAATTTAATAATTAATAGTGAATTTAGTGTGAATTAGTATTTAAAATATACATTAATTCATGGCATTTTAGTTTTATTCCCAGGTTAGCTAGTTGCCAATGTATACACAGAAGAGAAACTTGTAAAAAATATAAAAGATTCAATTTGACTAGTTAGATTTTATAAAGATTCAACAAGAAGCACAAGTTTAAGATGCTTAAATTAAATAACTAGGCTAATATACGTTTACATATTTTGTTCTATAAAAAATTAAATAGTAGGTTTCTGTAGTTTTCATGCAATTAATTTCCATCTTAATTCTATAAATTGATGAATTTTACTCCTTTTTCTTTACTCATTGAGCTTGTCATGTCATATAAGCAGAAATATAGTCCATACCATATTTTCACTATAAATATGTCATGTGATGTGCTTGTTACAAACACACACAACTCCCACCTCTTTTCTTTTCAATAATTGCTGCTCCCCACGTCTCAGTTAGATCTCAAATTAATGCTAAATTCTGTTACCACTAATTACTTGACATTATTTTTTACTAAATTAATTAATTTCTCCGGATTTTAATTAAAGAGTTTCTTCAAAAAATTTCATGAAAATTATACTCAGGTTACCAAAATGGAAGAATCAGGGCATGCTTGTTTATGAAATAATTCATTTCACACTCAAAATCTAACTTAAATTTAACTCAATCTCACTATCATTTGTATTATTTATATAATAAAATATTATAAACCAATCATTCTTACATATCACATCAACTTTAATTCACTATTCATCCACTCACATAATTTTAACTACCAATCATTTCCAATCATTTATATCCTACTTTACATCAAATCATTAATAATTATTTTATTTTAAATATTATTTTAATATATTATTAAAATTATACTAACAATTAATCATACTACATTTTTCAAAATTAACTCTAGTTAACTAAAATAACTCATTTTGAATGAAATATTTCATAAACAAGCACGCCCTCAGGTACTCGACCACACTGTCACCAATTTTTTTTACATTGAATCAAACATATTTCCACACGTTCACCAATTTTTTTTACATTGAATCAAACATATTTCCACACGAACGTGTGCTGATTTAACGGTTAAAAATATCATGTACCCTTCAAAATAATAAAACAATACAAATTAATTGCTTTGACATTCATTTCCATATCTATATACCAGATTTGTAGAACAAATTCGAACTCCAAGAAATTAGAACAAATTTTAACACTCCAAGAAGATAGCTCTATTATTATAAAACAAGTGGGCCTTGATAAAGTGATATGGAAATAGTTGAGGGCTACTTTTATAATTTGTCATAATTAAAATCATCAATCAACTTTCTCAAGGAAACCACATGAGTGGGCAAGGGGTAAAAGGTAGGTCTAGTGGAGTGGCCAAAGTGCAAAAAGTACCAACCAATCATGGTCCAAACAACATAACCAGACAAAAGGTTTAAAGTTGTATGTAGGGAGCAAAAAAAGAAAGCCTTGGTAAGTGATGGGTTTGATTGAAGACTATTATACAATACAAGACTGCATTTTTTTTAAAGGATGCTACAAGATAACATGGTTCTAATGTAATATGTTCATCTCCATAAAAAAATGCAATATTATTCAACACTTTCCCAATACAGTTGCAGAAACAATTCATAGAAAAAAATAACAATGTTCCGAGGTAGAATACGAATAATAATAATCTTCACTTGGAGGAAACCGTGCGCAGAATTTTAATAACCTGTTTCGGTTAGTATCTCAATATCGAAAAAGGTTCATATTGGGCCCAAATTTTGCATTAAGCTCATAAAGATTCGAGCTTTATTTATCCTTTAGGGCTGCAAGGGGTGGGAGTCGAGATTATAGGGCAGTTTGCAAGGGGCCATTGGGTCTTTGGGCTTGTATTTCCCGAGCATTTCAGCAACAGTTCTGCATCGGCATTGATTACCCGGCCTAATAACATCTCCATACACAGCCATTTCAATAACGTCGAGTTCCTTGTCTACAATTGAAAAGAGAAGAGGGATGCACAACGATTAAATTTAGAATTAGTTACATTTTTTTGATTCAAATGAAAGTACAAAAAAAATAAAAGAAAATAAATAGTTCAATCGTAAGTAGTTCAATCCAAATGACTAAAAGAAAGGAAGAAAGTAAGAAAATGTCAGCTAGTCTTCCTTGCAACAACTTGTTCCAATCCCAATAGGTACTTTTACTTCTTAATAAACAAAGAGCTGAAGTGAAAGAAGAATGTGAAAGATTTGTAGTCATGAAGTTAAAAGGAAAGGAGAAAACAAACAGAAATGTCAACACCAAACATATGTGATTCAACAGATTCTGAAGCCTAGATGGTAATTACAGCTAGGCCATCAGTTAAATTACATTTTGAATAATCTTGCTCAGTCTCTTAGTAGTACCAAACTCTAGCAGCCACAATCAAAACAGTTTGAATTACGATTTCTTTAACATCACTCTGTTTTCCAAGTATTCATTGTCAAATGCACAAGACCTCTGCAGTCTGAATTAACGGTTAGAGAGAAAGTTTTCTTCTAAAGAACGTAAAGTTCTTTGCATCATTCTTATGATAAACATCTCAGCCAGTTGACTATAGTAAGCTTATCAGCAATTATCTCAAAACTATATTTTGAAGCAGAGTTTCACCAAGTTTTTATGTCTGACTGCAGCAAACTATTAAAAGATTATGCTCTAAGCAAACTGCTAAAAGTTTATACTTTATGAATCGATCACTTCAAGGAAATGAATAGAAACTGTTCCAATTACACTGTATAGAAAACATATATCTTAGTCGCAGCCTAACTTATTTAATCAGATTCATCCTTATACAAGTCCTCTCCTAGTTAATTTTTGCAATTTCTCTACTGGGATGCAATTGAGAAACGAAAATACAAGTAAACGAAAGGATAATCAAATCACAAACCGAAGGAAAGATGAAGCAAAAGGTAATGTATTATGTATATACCAGTGAACTTAATGTCACAAGAATAGCCTTTCAATTGGGATCCATCAATCTCCTGCTTATCGGATTTCAACCGGTTAACCCTCGTCTGTAGAATCTGGCAATTCTCAGCCACCGACTCGCCACCTGCACAACACCCCCAAAAACCTTCAAAACCCTCATCTTTTAACCCTATCTAAAAGATGCACAAGCAAAAACGCCCAATCTTCGACAAGAGAACAAAAGCTACCAAAACGAAGATAAAATTAGTTCTGCTTAACTTTTCTTCGCACCTCACCTCCAGGAAGAAACAAAAAAATGTCATCTTTTTTTCTTTTTTTTTTTCATTTTTTCCCCTTATACAATCAACACATATAGAAAGAAATTTGAAGAAGAGAAAGAGACCTTTGGAATAGGGGATGATGTGGTCGTACTCGAAGCAGAGGCATCCCTGGCAGTTGCAGAAGCGCTTGCAGACAACGTTGCCGGCGGCGTCCTTGCGCCACCGATCGGGATGGCGGCCGGGCACAGTCTCAGCCTTCGCCCAGCACGCGCTCTTGGCCTTCGAGTCGAAAAATCTCGGACGCTCTTCATCTTTTTTCCGAGCACTCCTCGGCGATGAAGAACCCGAACCCGAATCTGAGCTCATGATTTCCTTCCCGGAAATTGGAGAAGCTCGCCATTTTTAATTTTTATGTGGAGCTTTTGGGAATGAAAACAAAAAAATAAAATAGAATTGTTTATTAGGTCCATGATTAGGAAAAATGTTTACTACATTTTTTATTTAATACAAAAAAATACAATTTATATTTTATTATAAAAAATTGTTTACTTATACTATAAAATATATATTTTTATTACATTTGAAGTATGATATTTTATATAAATTTTCTAAAAGAATGTGACTAGTTGTCTACTAATATTTTAGTATATAATGATTATTTTTCATTATAACATTTTAATATAAATTTGCGGGAAGAATATGACTAGCTATCTATAAGTAATTTAATATACAATGATTATTGTTGAATGGAATATAGGATTAATATATAATGACTATGTTAAAAATAATAAAATAATAAGTTGTAGCTAAAAAAAATACAAGTACATGTGGGGAGGATGCCCTTAAATATGAGTTCACCTTTTATTGGAGAAAAATATTAAGAAAGCAATTTACATAAGAAATGAATAATTTAAAAAGTGATGTATTTTTGTTAGATACTAATGTAGTAACACGATGATGTAATTTGAAAATAATAAAAGAAAAGAAGATACTTAAAATATAGTAATATATATATATATAAATTATAACAATGATTAAATTTTATTTATAAACATAAAAATATAGTAAAATTTATATAAAAAAATTATAACAATGATCAAATTTTATTTATATATTGTAAGGATAAAAATGAGATGGAAAAAGTGAGTTACTATAGAAAAATCTCTAGTGAGAATGCTTAGTACAAAACTTTGTTTTGTTAAAATTAGATCGGATTATGTAATGAGAGATGAATGGCAATTTTTATTTTTTATATTTTTTTTTGGATACAAATGGCACCTCAAAATTTATAGAGAAATGTATAGAATAAAATGGGGCGGAAATCTCCAATTCTTGCTTTCTCTTTATCTTTTGACACCGCTCCTAAGGGAAGCAGCTACAATGTCCAGCTTTAATTTCATTTCATAATGTGTATTAATAAAATAGAAAAAGAAAATTACATTACAGATTAATGGTATTTTAAAATATAATATATATGCATATTTTGTAAGGATAAAAATGGTATTCTTTTATATACAACCTCACCCTTAGTATGAGTCATGGACCTCATGGTACACAAAATGGACCAATATACTTTATTATAATATACGTCACAAAATTCTAATGTATTACAACATACATGTGACGAAAACCATATCAAAAGTTTACGTTTTTTACAATGCAGGGGGCTTCGTTGAGTTCGATGCCTTTTGTGCTGGACTTTGGGAGGAATGTGTTTTCTCATTTNTCTTATATTAAGTGGTCTGTGTCCATAGATTTTCCCAAACCAATGTTACTTGTAAAGTATCTAACTCATGAGAAAAAACACCACACTCTTTTATAAAACAACACCACACTCACTTATATAACTCATGAGAAACTACTTGGGACCAATGTCCTTGAGAGCGCATATTTGCTCCTCCCCCATTGCTGACTGCACGCTCACCACCAAGTCCTTACCCTCGTTAAAACCATCCTTGATCTGCTTGACCGTAAAAGAAAAAAAAAAAAGAAATTACTCATCAAGTGATACGGTAAGTAAGTAGTAATTTATTCATTTTAAAATAATATTGGTGGTTAGCATCGTTTCTGAAAAATATCAAACGATCATGTTAAAGGAAAACTAGAATTTAAACAGTTGGGTGTTTTCTTGCTAAAAAGGTTTACCTGGGTGAGAAGGTTCTCGTCAGTTGGCAGCCTCAAATCATCTTTGGTGTTACCATTTTCAGTCAGCAAACTCACCTAAAACATTTGAGAAAGTGAGGTGAGCTATAGGGTCCAAAATAGTAAAACGTAATCAAGGATTTTTTTTATTTTTTTTTTGTAAAGTATATATGTACAAATCCATCTTCAGAGATGTCAATCAGTTGGTAATCAGTTCGAGTGACGTGGGGAACCTATATAACAAAAGGAAAACAAAGAAATAAATGTCGAATTATGGGAGAAGATTGTAATAATTAGCCTAAAAAATAAAAGGAGAATGAAAGCCCCGAGGGATGGATAAACTTACATCACAGTTGTGAGAGGAGGGGACAATATCTTCCAGCTTTTTACCGGTGAAGATATCAATGGCGACAAAATGACATTTAGCATGACCGTGCTTTCCGGTTTTAGAAGTGGAAACTTCAACAACCTGTCAGTAAAGAGCACTTTTCTTAGTTGCGGATATTGGTAACGTGAAATACAAAAATCGGTAGATGTTAAAACTCCATCAGAGACTGCTGCCAATACAAATGGTCATTCAAGTCTCTAATGGCGAAAATGATCTGGGAACATATATAACTAAAGAAACTCTTGAGGGAACATGCTATTCAATCACACTAATTCATCTTTGCTCAATCAAAAGGAAACTAAAACCAAACCACGAATCATTATTTCACTATTTATACATCCAACGAACTTTTGTCATTTCATTTTTATCACAAGTTCAATCACTCTCAAACTTCTTTCTTCTTTATTTCAGTTGTTTTCCTTTCTTTTCATCAATAGTCTCTCCAAGGAGAAAAGAAAATGATAAACAAAAGCACGGTACTTCACAGTGCAACTATGTATATTTGTTCAAAAAGTACGAAGGGGCAAAGTGTTTGTGATCCCCGAGGTATTATCATAATGGATAAACCACTTAACAAACACCATATTAATCAACTCTTGAGCTGAAGGACCTTCTGAACAACATGTAATTTTAAAATCACTGTAAGAATTACATCAATCAATCCCTAATCAATCCAATTTCAACTCATTCTCCATGTTAAACAGAAACAAACAGCCGAGCAGCAGATCCCCAAATTAAAACCCAAAAACAACACGCAGGTCCGATTTCGAAAATCATGGGGTACCAAAAATAAAGAAACAACAGCAAGACAAAATCAAACAAAAATCCAATAGAAAAAATGAATAAGAAGAAGAACGAAGAGACCTTGCAAGGGCGGGCCTTGATGACAATGTAGCCGTTCTTACGAATGGTTCCAGCTTGCTGAGGGTAAGTTTTGGAGGCGCCGGCGTCGGCTTTCGACTCGAAGTGGTGCTCCTCGTCCGACATCTCTCTCACACTCGCACCCTTACTGTGCGTGTAATTAGCTTGTGATCCTCTCTGCAATTTTTCACTGCAGCTGATGATGCTTATTATTTTGTTACCTGTATGCTGGAGGATATGTATAGCTTATTAGCTTGTATTCAGGGAAAAAGATTAAATAAATAAATAAACACTATTTGAAAATCACGAAATTTGTGTAGCTATTTAAAAAGAATAATACAAATTTTTGTACGAGTTAATGTAAACTAGTTTTACCCCATTCATTTGTACGAAAAACGATATAATAAAAGAGAAAGTAATTAAAAATATAAAATAAAATAAAAAACATACAAAAAAAAAAATTTAAAAAATGAATCTAAATATTACTAAACAATTTTTTATAAGCAACAGTCGTGGTTTTCTTATCCTCACTCCCCATCACAACAAATCATCCCCTCTATATATAATTTCAGCCTACGTGGCAAACTCTCATGTTTTGGAATCCTATTTGACAAAAAATCATGCTTTGGAGTTAGGCTTGAATACAAATTGATATTTGTATTAATTGTATTTTAATATCATTTCCTATAATAACCAATGAATTGCAAATATATTTTAAAAGTTGATAACTGTATTTCTTATCAGTTTTACATACATAATATATCAAATTAATCATATTTTTATGAGCTTCGATTTGACATCCATATTGTATATATAATATAAATAAATTATATTTATTTTTATAATAATAATAAAAATATTTATTAAAATTAATTAGAAAATAAAATTATTTATCAATTCATATATTTATGTTTAATGTAGTTATATGTTATAAGGTAGAAAATTTATTATAATATAACACATATAAGTCGCACAAGTAACATGTGTCATACTAAAATATATAATATATACTCCCTCCTATTTTTATTATTTGTCACTTTGGCTTAATTGATCATTGATTAAATAAATGTCGTTTTAGATATTTTGTTCATATTTTTCCATATTTAACCCTCCATTCAATACACAGTGTCTCTTCATATTTCATCTCCATCGTTTCTCATAACATCTACTCCCTCCTATTTTTAATAAATATCGTTTTGAGAAGTTGTACAATAATTAAGAATATTTTTTTTGCCAATAATAACCCTCATTTATGAGGATAGAGATTGATGTTTTGAGAAAAGATGGAGAGTAAATATGAAAAGACGTAGTGTATTTATTAGTTAGATGAGAGTAATAATGGAAAAATATATACAAAATAGCCAAAACGACATTTATTTAACAAATGATCAATTAAGCTAGGATGACAAATAAAAAAAATAGGAGGGAGTATTAAATAGGGTTAAAATTATCAAGAAAAGAAATCCTAATTAGTGTGTTGCATTTGAATTGATATTACGAAGTCCGTTTGTATTTTTTAATTTATACATATATATACACACACACACACACATATATATATATATATATGTGTGTGTGTGTGTTTCTATTTATACAAAATAGTAATATATATCCTTATAAATAAAATTTAAATTTATTTATCAAACTAAATTAAATTATATCAAATACAACTATAAATTATATCATAAAGTAATAGAAATTGGTATGTATTCTTTTAAAAATGATATTTATTTCAAATCTAATTGGTATGTTGTCAACATAATAAAAATAAATAATTATTTATATAAATTCTAAAATTACATACAAAGTTAAAAAATTGTGAAGCACGACTGATACGACACTTGATGTTTTAGACATTTAATTAAGTAAACAAATTAATTTATTTTGCTTAAAATTAAATAAACATATTCTACACTTATGCATATACATATCACCATATTATTTCTATTTATTTAAGATATATATTGTACTTATGTAATAGTAAATAATATCGATATTTTTATATGATATAAGTAAAAAAATTCAACATGGGTTGATATTTTCATTTAATCTACGGGTGTTTAATTATTATGATTAAAAAAATTTAATTTGACAAAGTAATGTTTTATATAAAATTAAATTATTTTAGTTTTTAAAAAATAAAAAATTTAATATTTTTTACAAAAATTTTGTAATTCAACACCCGTGTAATACATGAGTATTGTACTAGTTATCATTAAACCTCTTCGACTCATGACTCTGGAATTTGATTTTTCAAAATATTTGATGTATCGTTGTAATATCACAAAAAAAATTTTTTTATTATTGTATGACAACAATAGAAAATAGAGATACTTGTAGTTATTCTTAATTAATTGTGAAATAATATTTATATGATACCAAAAAATATATAGTATCAATATAAAAAGAAAAATATTTTGTATTTCAGGAAATGAAAAGATGTTACATAAATTGGCACCATCCAAATTGTGATCTGTCAAAATAAATTGTGTAACTGAAAGTTACATATTATGGTGTAAGCTTATGGATTTAAAGAGCACCACATATATTTATAATTTTAAATATAATTAGCTTACTACAAAAATTTTGCATAGTAAATAACTTCTTTATGCTGTACACCAAAACAAAATATGAACAAATTAAACATAGCATATGAACCCCATGGAATATTAAGAACATTATTCCATCTTAATGAACAAATTTATTTGTCCAGAAATGTTTCAATGATGTTTCATTTCATTCTACCTTGTGTTGGATGTGGAAACTTTCCTTTTCAAATTAGACTTGAGATGCAAATCAAACCTCTATTATCATGAAGCTTTGTCAACAAGCATGCCATTTATAATGATATTCTCTTGACAACCATGTTACACAAGATTTAAAAAATAAATAAAAAAAGGAAGAAAAAAAAAANCAAAAGATCCATCACCATTCACAATTCACAGCAAGAACAGTTCATCAAGCCTCCAACTTCAATGAACATACATAACATAATTTCTCCTTTTTCTCCACCAACAGAACAAACTAAACGAATCGACATACCCCAAGAAAACGAACACAATTATGAACCAATAAAAATCAAAATTCCTCGACTCTGATTGCATCACGAGGCGCCTCGTAAGCATCCTTCGACCTCGATTTCTTCACGCCTGCCGTGAACCAAACCTTATCCGACTTGTAGCTCTCGACGTTCACGCTTGTGACTTTGACCCACACCAAGACTTTGGTCTTCATACCCTCGATCCCTGTGAGTTTACCTCTCGACAAAGTGGCCTTCACACGAGTCGAATATCTTATGATTGACGAGTCCTTGAAGCACACCTCGCATGGGGATGAGAGGTACACCACCAGCTTCGATTTTATCTCGTCAAATTCGTAGCATGTTATGTTCTGAGGGAAAAGGCCTTGTGGAAGATTGTTTTCCCTGAGGAGATCGGGCAAGGATTTAGTTGGCTTTCCTGTGAATAAAGGCTACTTATATGAGAAGCCGGTAATGAAGAAGAATAAGGAAGAATGCCCACCCAACATATTTTTGAAGATAAATCCATTTTTGATTTATATGATAATCGCGATTGTTCGATGATCACTAGCATAAGAATTCAGGATAGAAAATCACTACTGCATACCTTTGAGCTTGTTAAAAATCCATTTTGCTTTCTCTTCTACAGTGTTGGAAAGAGTCTGGAATATGACAAACATAAGTACAATTAAAGATTGCTTAGGCTGGAATCTGGTGAGGAAACAAGAAAGCAGATGCAATAAAAAGATGACGAAAAAAAAAAAAAGAAAACATTCCTTCAAAACTGAAAAATATAGTGGCATTACCACAATGGGCTAACTGCAAGTGATACAAACATTTTTTCAACCAGTTATATTTCATTTCTAACAAACATTTTTCCTTTTATTCACTCCTTTCCGATATCAATCTGTAACAATTGAAATATCCAAAGAGCAAACTGAGCACAACAATATGAAAACATGGGCAAGATTGCTAATCTCACAAGTAATTGCAAAATAAACTAATCTCAAGCATATAATTATCATCTAAAATGGAAATAATGTTCGAAAACCAGAGACAAGCTCTACTGCACCATATCTCCACCACCAAAATTCAGGGAAAAAACAATCACAGCACTAAGGGTCCATCTAACTCAATTTGTTCCAAATCCAGCCTCGATAGCAAAAGTCCCATCCAACATATAACTTCAAAACCCAAATAATCCGCAAATCATAATTATTCAGTTACTAGCTGACACCAGTTTTTCTATTTTTAAGATCCATTAATGAGAATAATGACACAGATCTTCAACTAATCCACCAAACGCAACCCAATTTTCACCATAATCAACAAACAGAAACATCTCCAAACAACCACGATTATCCACAAAACCCCACAATAAATGCAGTAAATAAATCTGACAACACAGATTTCTTTTCCATTTTTTTAAACAAAAAAATCTAATTTAATGCAGGCGAAAATCAGGGATGGACAAATTGAAGAGAGAAGGAAATATCATACAGACAGGTCTTGAGAGATGTTGGAGATTTCTTCTTTGGCTTTCTTGGAGACCCAAAACGTGCCTGCTTTTAGACTCCCAACTTTTACAAGGGCCTTCTCCATTTTATTCCTGCAGCTCAAAGGAAGGAGCTTTTTCACAGTCGAGAGTGTGTAGAAATATTCGGTTTTCCTCACGCGCATTTATTCTCCATTTTTTCCCTCTCACACAGCAGTAGTGTGTGTAGTGTGTGTAGTGTGTGTCACAGCTCATATAAGATTGGCAAATTTGGCCGCATTTGACAGAGGGATTGAAAATAACGGCGCTCCCGCATTATTTTTAGGCTTTATTAGAGGTTTTTCACATAAAAAATTATTGGTTGCCACTATCGACTCGACTCATTTATTAAAATTTAAATATTATAGTTTTATGTGATTTTACATAGTTCTGTAATTTTGTTAGTCGAAACTCTAGTTTGATTTATTAATATTTGAAAAAAGAAATTTTGATGTAATTTTTTATTACTCCATCAATTAAAACTTGTATTTGGATGGTTAATATTGATAAATAAGCCGAGTAAGAGCTCGATTATCGGCTCCTATACTTAACCTCAGTTCGATAAAGATTTTTGATATAGAACGAGTTTTAGGAGTTCGAGCTCGACTCGACTCATTTACACGTTATTAGGATTATTCAATAACAATATTTTTTTTATCTATTGTGCAATATTTATCTCGTTGAATTGTAAGTGCAATAAAACTTTTTTTTTTTTGGTAAAAATTACTATTCATTTTATCATAATTTTTCTTCTAACAATTCAACCAATACAATAAATGAATATATATTAATTATAATTATATATTTTACAATAAAAAATACTATTCATCTACTTTTGTTATTATCCATGATTACTAATCAACGTTTTATTATTTTTTACATAACATCAGTGATTCAGTGTTAATCATTACATATTTATTTTCTAGTAAAAATCTTAAATACATCTCATATTTCTAATTAATAATAGTTTCTTGTATACATTTCCATCTCAGTTTGTAATTAGACATTTTATTTTTTTTAAAAAAAATCCTATATTTGTTAGGTCATTTAATTTATTTTTTATCTCATATTTCAACATTGTTTAAGATTAGATTGACTTTGAAGTCATTAACCGAGATTGATAGAGAATAAAACTGAATAAAATTTTGATAAAAAGGTAGCTCTTACATATTTTTTCTAATTATTAACACCTTATATAAAGACTAAAGCTTTTTTAATTAGAAATCTATGTATTATTAACTTGTAAAAATGTGTATCACTAGCTGTTGAGATTGAGAAGCCAATTTTGGCCATTTTCTGGTGAAGACCTAATAAGGTTCTGTGTGTACAAATCAGGGTTTAATAAAATCTTGTACGTTAATTTAAGAAATTGAGTTTGCTGAATTGCTAATAGTGTTGTTTCATGTTTGATTTGAGAATTTATGAATATTCTTTTATTATGAAGTCAAATTTTGCCAATTTATAAAAATCAAATTTTTGATCTCTCTCTATATAATTTTTTGGCCTAATTGCTAAAAAGATCCCAACAATTTCCATTTTTGCAAATAAAATCAAACTTTTTGAACTTCGACAATTATATACACAACATTGTCTTTCCATTCCAAAATGAATCGTTGGGACGCAAACGGGAATGTAATGTTTACGTGGTATTCAAAGAGAACAAAAAATGCCAATGTGTTGTTTTTTCAATTGTAGAAAAAAGTCAACACTTTCACAAAAATTACAAATTTAACAGAACTTTTTTTTTCCAATTTGAATAGCAAAAAAATATATATGAGCCCAAATTATCAACATTAATTTCATATTTAGTTATTCATGTTGTCTAGCTTGTCTTTATTTTATTTACAATAATTTATAAATTTATCCATGTGAACATGTGATATAGCTATATATAGCTCGACTAAACCGTAGTTGCGACCTGTGATAGCTCGACCGAGAAGATCTTTAGCATCAACTGGGAGTGGAATTTGACTCAGTTGAATTAGGATTATGACTTGAGCAACTAGGATCGACCTAAAGAAGGTCATCTAAAGGAACACGATGATAGCTAGCCTAGGCATCCACTTCAATTCTAGCAAACCGGCCTATTTGGCTTAGAGGAGTTAAGGCTAGTTAGAAGTACATCCAGTCTAAATATCTGGGACTTATTAATACTCAACTCGACGACCTAAATAAAGAAGAATATGTGAATGTAATTGGACCTGAGTAAGGGTGAACATAATCAAGATAAGGATGAATATAATCCAGATAAGGACAAAATTAAGATAAGAATGAACACTAAACAAATAAAGATTAACCTCGGGCAGTTGGGGAGCTCTTGGCAGATTGACCTCAGGCAGTCAGATAGCCCCGAGCAGCCTGAAAGCTTTCTCTCCCTATAAAAAAGGGATAAGGTATAACTGAAATACTCTCTCCGCTCTTTGAATTCTCTAGATACATTCATCATCTTCTTCCCCTTTTCAATAACTGACTTGGGCGCGGAGTGATTCTGCCAGAAGCTCCTCCCAGCCCTTATTTTGCAGGTAATCATTATTCTCATACGGTTGAATGTTTTCGGTAGTTGGTTCAAGCAGATCCAGGTCCCGACACATCATTTGTTACCGTTTGTGGGGAACTCTTAAAGGAATTAAGAGATCTCTCACCCAATTCCGATCATCTGAGATGGCTGATAGAGAAACATTGCAGAGAAACTTGTGGGAAGACTTTAGGAAAGCCTGGAGAGATAAGCGACCCCTCTTTGGCACCTAACCCAAAATCGGGCATGTATGTATTAGGATTAGCACCGTTGAACAGTCACGTGCCACCATTTGGTTTGCTTCCTGAGGAAGTGATTCAGTCCACTCCCACCAGGTGGAAAAAATCAATTGTTGATTCCAATAGGGACTAGTCAAGTTCCACTAGTGACCCCTACCTGCAGAGAGCATGAGCACCGTGAAGGTATCAAAGGCAGGTGGATAGAGTGCATGGATGTGAAGGGGAGAAAGAGGTCTCCCCCAGAACTAGCAGAACCGAGATGCCGACCAGGATGTCTCACCGATCTACGTTACAAAAGATGACTGCAGATGCAGTTGCTGCGAGAGTGGATTAGGTGCGGAATACGCGCTCAACCGACTCGCGTGATACCACATGTCAAAGAGGAGAGGATGAGGTATCACAATAAGTGAGACTACCCGTTTACAGTTCCCAAAGGAGGATATGCTGGAGAGGCTGTCTGCACAAATTCGAGACCTACAAGCAAAGATGGAAGGTAAAAGAGGAACTAGCACCAGAGGTCACCCTTTCTCAAGAGGAATGTGCTGGCATTTTCTGTCCACGTGGGATGTCACGTTAACATTGCAGACTCGTTTTGTGGCGATGATTCTTTTTGCAGTTAAATAACTAAGGGTGTGATTGGATATAAACTTAACAAAAAAAAAATAAAAAAATCAAAACACAATTTTAATACAACTTTAACTCAACCACACTATTTTCAATATTATCAATATAATTAAATAATATCAACCAATCATTTTTACACATCACATCAACTTTAATTTATTATTTATTGACTCACATAATTTTAACTAACCATCACTTCCAATCATTTTTTTCCTATTTTTACATCAAATCAACTTTACCTATTTTATTTTAAATATTATTTTAATTTAAACTTAAATTCTCACTAACAACTAATCATATGCATTTTTTAAAATTAACCATAGTTAAGAAAAATGGTTGGGAAAGGTGGTGATTTTTTTAACAGTTAGGCTTATTTTTATCATTTTACATAGCTTATAGAGATATTAGTTAGCTATTTCTGTGAGATCTAGAATTTTGATGCTGAAATTAGTAAATTAACACAAGGAATTTGGATAAGTGGATACCATGTGTGTTGTCCTTTTTTTTTTTTAATTGATTTGGTATTAAGAAAATCTATATATTATGCGAGAATTATTATTATTTTTTAAACAGACTCATTTAGTGATTAGTTGTTAAGCAAATTCATTCAAACCTTTTAGCAATTGAAATGGAAAATATCGTGTCTTGTAAGTTATAACACCAACTAGTTCATACTTTGAAGCTAATTAATGCTTGGAGAATGGAGTAGCTTTTCTTAGCACTCACTATAGCACCAAACCTAATACAAATTAGCCCTAAAAGTTGGTTTAGTTTCACACAATCAATCAATCATCCCATCATACACTTGAGGGCTAACACATTTGGAAGGAACATTGCTCGGGTCGATGTATTGGAAGTGCGCACTCGAACAAATAGCGCCTGTCGATTTTCCGCCTCCAAGCGTGAGCCGAACACCCTGAAACTCCAAATTTTGGCACGGACGTGATTTGCTACATTGCAAGTTCACCCCAACCGGGGATGCAGAAGTGCCCTTCACGTTTATATACTTCACGCCGTTGATCTTGATACTCGATTCTCTCTACACATACAATAGTACACAAATGTAAATAAGAAATAATTTGAATTATATAAATAGAACGACGAAAAAAAAAATGCTCACTGCATGGCTGCAAGAACCCTGCTGACAATAGTATTGGTCGATAATGATCGGGTTTTGGACATTCCGGAGCTTAACATCCTGAAACACGATGTCGCTAACTGTGGTCGACACTGTGGATGGGGCCCACGTCTTGATTCGAAGCCCGTTGGTGGTGTTGATGAGGGTACAGTTCTTGACTGCGACCCCCGTGACGTCCTCCTCATCCACGTACCGCCCGAGGCTCCCGATGCTGATCCCGTGGCCTGGCCCGCACATTACATACTCAATGTTGATGTTTTTAGAGCCGTCCCCCATTGAGATGCAGTCGTCCCCCGTGGCTATGCGCGAATTGGTGATGCTGACATTGGCACACCTCGCAAGGTGGATCCCGTCCGTGTTTGGGCTATCGGCTGGTGCCATTATGTTCACGTTGTTGACCACCACATTGTCGGACACAACTATGTGGAAGTGGAACATTTTGCTATTGAGGGACACGATGTCTCGAATGTTTAGGTTGTTGCATTTGGCAATGTAAATAGACTGCCGCACAAAATCAAGGTTTAGTGAAATATTATTAATTCACTAAATTCATATTTCATGCTAGTCCACAATTATAACTTTATACATTCATCTAAATGTTTGCATTTCAATATTCAAACTCCAAATATGATTCCCTCCATTTTTTATATTTAAAAAAAAAAAAATACACACATACACACAAGTCAATTTCACATGTTGACTAAACACTTACCGTGGGCCGAGATTTGTGGAATCGCCAGGCCGTTGGCCCATTTCCATCAAAGGTACCACCGCCCCGGATCGTGAGCCCATTAACTTCATAAAACGAGATCCAAAAATCCTTATAGTGGGCCCCTGGAGAAGCTAGTATGACCCCTTTGTTCATGAAAAAAGTTGGGCCGTTACAGGGCCCATTGAAACTCGCACCACTCACAACGAAAGTCCTCTTTGGGACTTCAATTACCCCACCGTAGCTCGCACAAGCATCCCTCCATGCGCCCAAGAAAGCCTACGAAAATTGAACAAAGGAAAAGTCAAAAGTCAATTTATCTGTATTTTCTTTGGGCCTATTATGATTTGGGCTAATGGGCTCAATCAGCCTGATAATTACCTTACTACTATCCGTTCTTCCATCTGCAATTGCTCCATAATCAGTCACTATGAAATGATTGTTTCGGCCATTAACATTGCCAATGCAAAAGAGCCAAATCAGTGTAGCAAATAGAGAGAAAAAACAATTCACATCCATTTTATATATTTTTTTATTTTTAGTTTTTGTCGTTATTTGTTGGTGTAGAGTTGAAAGAGATTAGGACACATATATAGGAGTGTTGGACATTTTTATATATTTTTTACAAATATAATGAAAAAAATCTGATAATGAATACATTACAGATCTTCTGAACTTTTAATTGGATGGTGTGAATTATGATTTACCTAATGGAAAGAAAAATGTGGTCAACATTGTTGGTTGACATTTGTGGAAAAATTGAATTATGGCATTATGTATAGTAATTAAATTTGTGTAATGTTGCGAATGTGGTTTGATTGTAAAATCAAAACAATCAAATCTCAATAATGAAACTATAGTAAGATTATTTTCTTTTATTAGTATGGACATTTTACATTTCTGTCATAATTTTTGTAATGGGCAATTCAAATTGCTGACACTTTCAGTAACTATTCTGGTCAAAGTTTAAAGCAGATTTTATGTTCCATTCCATCACGAAGATTATTATATGGTTGAATATCAATATTTGACACCAAGATTTGGTAAATAGGGTTGTAATTTATATAGATATATATAATTTTTTTTTTAAAAAAAAAACTTCTGTAATGGAGATGATAAAGTGGAAAAAGATATTTCAAGAATTAGATGTTTTTTAGATTGTGAAATTAAAATAAAATATAATAACTAATAAAAATATATTTCGTTAATTAGAAGTTGGTAATAATAATAATAATATAATAAATTATTATTATATTATTATTATTATTATTATTATTATTATTATTACTACTACTACTACTATTTTAATTTTTTTATTTTTATCGGGTTAGTGGAATTGTAAAATAAATTTGATAATAGTATTGGTAAGGTTAGTTTATTTATTATTTATTATTTTTTATTTTTACATCCAGTCACACCTCAGTTAGCTTTCATCACCATGATATTTGCTTTCATTAGTACAACCGTATATTACATGAGTGATAATTAAAAATACATAATTATAACTTTTTAAAAACAAAGAATATAAGTTTCGTTTATTTTCTAATAATTTTAGACAATCATTATTTTTTTTTTATTTAAAATGATATGTCACTCTAAAACTTCTTCATTCTATATTATAAAAAAGTTTGTAACTCATATCATATATATGCTATCATAGATATATCTATTTTAATTGTCAAATAAATTTTTATTATTTTTCAAACATGATTGATAATTATTTTAAATTTTATTTATAACTTCTTTTTATTTCAAATCAAAGGTCGTTAAAAGATTAAATAATTTGGTTATTATATATGAAACATCATTAAGAAACAAAAAGTATTGAGTTATAAAATATATTTATTAGTTAAATTAGTTGAGTGTTATAATTTAAAAGTTTTAAAAGACACGGCTAAAGTTCAAATCTACAAAAAGAAGCTCCAAAAATCGACATATAAAATTATGGATCAAACAACAACTAACATATATGTTCGCTATTTATTTCCGTTATCCGCAAGTACGACTAGCTATAGATAGTAGGGAGCAAAATTCCGTTTCACAAAAATTGTAGTTTAATTAACTACTTATCAAAATAATGATGAATAAATATTGTCTAAGCTAGCAAAATTGAGTGATGATTATGAACTAAGAAATTAAACTAAGTAATAATTTACTAAGAAATAAAAGCTTGTGAAAACTAGATTAAGCCAAAAAAAATGAAATATATTATAGGTTATGCTCTTCTCAGAATTAATTTATGAAACATTTAAATTCAACCAAATCTTATATAGCTTTACCAATTGTATAGATAATCATTAAACTAATTTAACCTTTTTCTTGAACAAGTGAAATCGTAGTTTAATTGCTATTTATCTCCTTTCCATCTTAAGATGAAGAACTAAATCCGTAAGTTCCTTGAATTTTCATTTTCTCGAGAGATCTTATCAACCTCTTCATCTGCTTATTTTTTTTCGCTATAAATTTTTTAATTTTAGCAATCGACTATTTTCTTTGTATCTCAAATCGATTACAATTATGTATCAATAGTTAACAACTACTCATATAATACATGTAAGCACAAAAAATTCATAAACGAAAGATAAGCCGAAATAAATAAATAAAAACTATATCATAAACTAATTCGAGTACCAACAAATCATAAAATATAAAATAATTTAGTCTAAAAACATGCTTCTAAATTCAAGTATATATATTGAGTTCGAAAATAGAAATGAAAAAGAAAAAAAAAGTTTATTCGACTTTGTGGATTTCTTATTTTTGGCTTTCTCGCTCGTCTTGTGCGTGTTCCCAGCCTTCAAAGGTCTCTGAAAATTTAAAAGCTCCACAAAAAATGTGCCCTAATGTTCTTTAAATAATTGAGTTTGAATCCTAGTCGAAATAAATCGAAAAATTTGTTGAAAAAAAAAAATGCGCAGTCAAATCGCAATGAAAACGCAAAAATAACAATGTGCATGAATAATGATTTCAAATAAAAAATAAAAAAATTAAAAATCAAGTAGCCTAAAATTATATTATATAAACTATGTATTTATTAACAAACTTATATCAACATTACCAAAAAAAATCTGGTACTAGGCATTTATTCTTTGTTATCGCCTTTGAAATCTTAAAATCATTTACGGATTAGTCCCACGAGCTAAACTTTATGCGGATTATAATATGGTCAAAAAGTAAAAAGTTCAACCCTGCACTCTACACTTTGCAATCCAAGTTTTTTTATTCTCTTTTATTTTTTCAACAATTAACTTAGATCTTTATAAATAGGCTAGACTGCATACATAAATCATCAATCACACATGCCATTAACAAGCTCTAATTCTCCATATATATGGTTTGATTTATATTTTCAAAGCCAATCCCATTGCACCAAACACATAATGATTGTAAGAAACAGGTGTAAAACGGGTGCGATCTCACACACTTGAAGAGTACCATCAGCACGGAAAGCCCAGATGAAGTCCAAATGAGGTTCCATCCTAAAATCAATTGATAAAAGGAATAGTAGCCCATTAGACTTATAAATTAAACATATTTTCCCTATATAAACGTTGTGGGACAACTCACAAATGAATATTTTAATAATAATCATATAACCATAATGAACAAACAAGAAAATCATGACAAAACCATATCTTATAACATCAAATTAACCACTTCGTACTCTAAAGTAAACTATTCTTGGACAAAAAGAGAATTTGTTTTATTATTATTAGTACTCGATCTCTCCAATAAACCTAGTACAAACAATGAAATTTTGTCTAAGTTTCATACAACCATCCAATCCCCATGAGGGGTAACACACTTGGAAGGAACATTATTGGCCCGGTTGTATTCAAAGTGTGCGCTCGAACAAACAGCTTCCCCCGGTTTTCCTTCCCCCGTCAGCAGCTCCATCCCCTCAAACTCCAAGTCCTCGCACGGCTGCGCTCTGCTGCATTGCAGGTTCACCGCAATCGGTGATGCCGTCGTGCCCTTCACGTTTATGTACTTCACGCCGTTGATCTTTATGCTCGAGTCTTTCTACACACGTTACATAGTCCACAATTTGTGTAACGATAAGTATTGTTAAGAAAAATAGAAAAAAACAAGTCAAAATTTCAAGGCTTCGATTCGAACTCACCGCATGGCTGCAAGAACTCTTCATGCAGTAGTATTGATCGATGACGATCGGGTTTCGAACATTGCGTAAGTTGATGTCCTCAAACGTGACGTTGCTGACGGTGGTCGACACGGTGGATGGGGCCAACGTCTTGATTCGGAGCCCGTTAGCAGTGTTGATGAGGGAGCAGTTCCTGACGGTGACACCTGTAACGTCTTCCTCGTTTACGTATCGACCGAGGCTCCCGATGCTGATCCCGTGGCCTGGCCCGCATATGACCGACTCGATGTTGATGTTCTTGGAACCGTCCCCCATGGAGATGCAGTCGTCCCCTGTGGATATGCGCGAGTTGATGATGTTGACGTTAGTGCACCTCCCGAGGTGGATCCCGTCCGTGTTCGGGCTATCAGCCGGGGCCCGTATGTACACGTTGTTGATCAATATGTTGTCGGACACGATAATGTGGAAGTGGAACTCCTTGCTATTGAGGGACACGATGTCTCGGATGGTAAGGTTGTTGCATTTGGAGATTTTTATCGACTGTTGCACAAAATCGCGACTCGTTGATATTAGAATTCGATATTACCTCTTGATATGTGCAATTTGATTGATAAGTGAAATTTATTAATTTTTAATTTGTTTGAATTTTTATTATATTCAAATGATCAATAGTCTCCCACAATTTACTTATATGTTCATTTAAATCTGCAATTAATTAATTATATATACTTGAACAGAAAATAGATCAAATTGATCTCTTGGGAAATTGATTGACTTACGGTGGGTCGAGTTTTTTGAAGTGACCAGGCCGATGGCCCATTTCCATCAAAGGTGCCACCCCCGCGGATAGTCAGCCCATTAACTTCATAAAATGAGATCCAATATTCTTCACCGTGGGCCCCTGGAGAAGCTGTTATAATCCCTTCGTTTTGGAAAACAGTTGCGCCATTGCAGGGCCCATTAAGAGTCGCACCACTCAGAAGGAAATTCCCCTTTGGAACCAAAATTAAGCCGCCATCGGCCTCACAAGCGTCCCTCCATGCGCCCAACAAAGGCTGCCCAAAAAGGAAAAGAAAGAAAATGTTTTAGAATGTCTATTATTCATTGGACCATGTAATATGGGCCTATTGTTTAAATTGGAAAAAATGGGGCGGTAGGGTTTGCACATTGTCTTTTGTCTGGCCCGGCCCATAATATAGCAAAGCTCTAAGATTGTCTAGGCTTGTATATAATTTTACCTCAATTTTATTTCTAGAGGTTACCTTATTAATGTCTGTGTTTCCATCAGCAATGGCTCCATACTTTGTCACTGGAAAAATCTTATCTTGGCCATTAACGTAACTAATATAAATGAAACAAATGAGTGACGCACAGAGATAGGAAACAAAGTTAAGATCCATTTNATTTTTTTTTTTTTTTTTTTTATGATTTGTTATGATGAATAATTTTGTTATTTTTTGATGATTTGTTATGATGAATATGAGAGACATTAGCACGGTTTATATATAGGTGTGTTACAGCGTGATTACGAAAATGTTTAGTTTCGATAATATATGTAATGAAAAATCTAATTTTCAACTTTTTATATAAAGTTTTAATTAGATGTTCAGAATTATCAAATTATTTTTTATTTTATTGTAAAGCTGTGTCGTGTTGAAATAAAAAAAAAAATTGTAGACAAACATGATTTATACATAAATATAATTTGTTTGTTTCAAATTATGAAATGTTATAAACATACCTCATAAATAAATAAATATAATTTGTTTGTTTTTAACTTATTGTGACTGTATTGATGTGCTAAAAAATATTACAAATAAGAAAGATCAAAAATTATGAAAAGTATAAGTTAAAGACTGTAATGACATTATTTTGATGGTATATTTTTTCTATTAACTAAACAGTGCCCCTAATACAAAATTATATTGGATCTTTCTATTAACTAAACAGTGCCCATAATACAAAATTATATTGGATCTTTCTATTAACTAAACAGTGCCCCTAATACAAAATTATATTGGATCTGCCGCTCCAATTAGTTTTTTAATATACTATGTTTTTTTACAATTCCAATGCAGCTTCTCTAACTTTTGAAATATAATCCAAAAATAAATTCCAACGGAAATTCACACAACAATAAATAATATTAATTGAAATTATTAAATCCATTAAAATTTCAATGTAATTAATCTGATCACCATTGAAATAATCAATGATTTTCAATGGAAGCTATACCAATAAAATATCCGTTGGCATTTTTAATGGAGTACCTTACCGTTGTATTTTTCATTGTAATATGACAATTTTTTTTTAATCCTTATTAAACATTCAGATTTTTATGTAGTAGTTTTTGTTATTAATTAATTATGTTTACAACTTTTATATTAAACAATATATTATATTGTAACAGCGCAGTTTATCATAAGATAAATAAGACAATTTAAAGAGGCCTTACTTGGAATTTGAACAATATTTGAGCCAAAAATCAATACTCTAGTTTTCGAAATAGAGTCAAAGCAACAAAAACAGTTACACCGGCTAACAATAATTTAAACTCCAACACCCTTACAAATAATATATATAATGTTATATTTAACAACACATCATGCGATAAGAGATTTTGTACGTGGTACCAAACATTTGTAAAGAAATAAGTTTCTAAAAAAATGGCAGACATTACTTTTTTTTCAAAACATACGAAATCATAATCGTTTTATGATGATAAGAAAATGACAAATAATTGAAATATAGTATTTAACCGTGTCCCACCGCCAGCAGATCACCGAGCTTCTTGACATGAAAATGTTAATGGTGAGATGAGTATACAACAGCTCAATGGAGAGAACTACGCATTTAATCAAGTTAATAACTGACATCACCATAATTGTACATACGCTTGAATCTTGAAACATAACATGGTCATCCGTAAGTTAAGTTTGCAACATATAGTCACACGACTTTAATTAGGTGCGCGAGTAGATTGCCCGTCGGCCATAGATATTTGCTCGAAGGCCATAGATAATTTGCCCGAATGCCATAAGCACTTTCATGAAGGCTATAATATGACCCGTAGGTCCTGTGCATGTAGTCACGTGACTCTAGCGTACCTAGCGTATTGGTTCGTCGACCGAATAAATAATATCGTGTTTGGCGCTGTGACATGTAAATACAATCATTTAGAACCTCTTTCTCTACCATATATAAGACCTTTGGCTTTGGATTGATGTTGAGTTAATTTTTGAGAGATATGGAACAAAGCAATTTGAGATATATGTGAAGGAAAATCAAATTCTTGGAGTATAATGGTGTGAGTCTGACTTTTAGGAGATGTTGAATGTTTTGTTCATGTATATATATTTAAGTAATTGAATATTAGTTATTAATTAAATTTATAAGATAGGATGTGTATTAATGTATCACTAATTTTTCTTTAAAAATATATCAAAGTAAAGATTTTTTAGGTAGTTCATTTATTTACCATATTACTCGTCCTTTTAGAATAGTAGAAATAGATATAGATAAATATACGTACTAATATAATGTCAAACTTCTAAAATCAATATAAGTAAATAAAATAATACTTCAAAGTATAAATATTCAATTTTATTAAAAAAGTACAACGGATCTACCATCCAACCATTAGGTTGTCTCACAACAAAATTTTGTGATGCAAGATTTAAAACAAGAGTCAATTTTAGTCCGTGTGAGGAAATGCTAGCAAGCATCAATCCATATTTGATCCACTTTTTAAGCTCATTTGAGAAATGCAGAGCATCTCAAATTATACAGTACAAATCAACTGAAACAGAACAACAAAACTTCTTCTTTCTTCACAAAGTATATATAAATATGTTTGGCCTCATTCAATTCTTGATCTTCCTCATACGAATCGTGATATGTTGCCAAACTGAGTGTGCCATCGTATAATCACAAATAAGGAAAAAAAAAAAACCGTTTAATTCAGAAATGTATGATCTTTTTGTCCAAACTGAGTGAAGTGAGGGCTACTAAAAGCAACTTGAAGCAATTCTTGATCTTCCTCGTACGAATCGCGATATGTTTCCAAGTTTATCTCGGCATTTCTCAAAGCCGACAAGCATAGCTCTTTCCTCCACTCTTCCAAGTGTGGGAACCCAACGTGGTCCGCGTATTGATCACAATACTGCCCGGAAAAACAGAGAAATTAATTGCACAAAGCTTATGTATGGTACTAAACAAATGTATTGAATTATTTTGTTGGTTGTTGTTAACTTGTTATAATTACATAAATGATGTGAAAATGTAGGTGTTATATACTCTCCATTTTGGACATATAAGGTAAATCATATCAAGAAACAGTTTTAAGTAGCTATCATTTTTTATTATTATTATTATTTTTTTTTTAATTTTTACCTCAAAACATGCAATATCATGAGTGTTGTGCTTGGGGATACCATCAACTTCCCTTGAGTGGTAAAACTCTTTGACTGATTGCATCATATCATCCCATGATGGCAATATCTTTCTTCCAGACAGGACTTGAGCAATCCATTTTGCTTGGGATTCAAAGAAAGGGAAACCTATAATCTACAATATCAACAAAAAGTGCATGGAAATTATGTTGTTTTCTTTGCTATGAGAACTAACAAAATCTTGGCATTAAATCTCAACTCTCACCACTCTCTGATCACATTAACAATTACGTCGGTGGTGATTTTTTAACATTAAACGGTCTAAAACTACGCGATATTTTTTTACTTTGCACCATTTGGTCAACTGGGGCCGGAGTACTACAAAAGTATTTTGTCAACCAAGTCGAAAAATCACATCTTGCAAAGAAACTTTTTTTTTAAAGGAAAAAAAAAAGTAGTAGTAATATCCGGTGTTCGAATGGTGCTTAGTGATTTCTACGTAGAAATTATCATCTTTAATAAAAAAAAGAATTGATAAATGAAATGTATATTTGTGTTTACCTTTCTTGGAATGCCAATAAAGGACAAAGAAGGAGCCAAAGAAGGAGGAAATGTATGCTCATAAAGAGGTCCCACCCTGTCATCATCCACCCCAACTATTCCTTTGGTATCAAGAAATGGAAATGAGTAAGAGTACCTGCAAAAATTCCCCACTTGTTAAATTGTCACCATTTCTAATAATTTCAGTGAAAAAAGTATGTAACATAAAGATACAGACAAGTTTAATTGGCTTGATCTGTTTTTCTTTCTTACTGTACTTTTGTATATAAATAAAGCAAACTTTTAATTTTATTATCATCCCTAAATCAATTAGTAGCAAACTTATAGAATCTTAATCAAACTCGATGAATTACCCCGTGCAGTATATGATAGTGTCTGCAGTTGTTGAAGAACGGTCGGCAAACAAAACCTTTCCATCCTCTTGTAGTAACTCTATCTGAAAAATATATGTGCAGCAAATTCATGTTTATTGCAATTTATTTATTATATTTATTTATTTATTTATTTATTTTGTACTTAAGGTTTATATGTTGAGTATGATTTAAGTTGATAACAGACCTGGGGATGAAGGTGTAGATTATCATATTTAGAGATGACTTTTGACAATCCTTGTGAAATGTTGAGGGATCTGGAGCTTAAGTGAACCTCTTTTGCCACATTCACAAGCTCCATAGATATGTCCTGACCACTTAATGAATTCCCAACAACCACAACTACCTGTAAAGAATGAGAAAAAAATAAAAATAAAAATAAAAAAAGATCAAATGATGTGTTAATTGAGATTAGGTGTGCATGTACATGTTACACTTTGCATTGAAACTTTCCTTAGGAGGAAATTTTTCCAATATTGGTCCCACCATGTAATTATTATGTTTTACTTTCTCTTCATTGCTAATTAGAAGCTTCAAATTAAGCTAGATGTTGTTGTGAGGTGGTTTAATCGTTGGCTGGTCTACCCGTCATATTTTTCGACTGAATATATATACTTATAATATGTGAAATGTTAAGTTATGGAAGTTTGCAAAAAAAAAAATGATCACAATTCACAAGTTCTTGATGAAATTCTCTGATTTTTCTCTTAATTACCTCATTCTTGAAGCTCTCCGGGACCCTATAGACGTGACTGTGCATCTGCTTTCTTCTCCATGCATCCATTCCTATACAAACTCAACACCACATTACCTTAATTAACAACCTCAATTACCAACATATGATGACAAAATCAAATACATGCTAACCAAAGTTTAATTAAACAGTCTTACCTCAAACAAACCACCAATAAGAACAAATAACAATTTCGAAAAACTTAATTCCACGACGATATCATCAATTTTATAAACAAAAGTACATACACAAAACGATTCGCCAAAAAAAAGTTAACTTTCTAGCATAAAGTCAAACCTTCTATTTTGGGCAAACGAGGGTGCGAATAATGCCCGGTGGCCACAACAACCGCATCATAAACTTCCTCAACCGTTTTCTCCGCCTTACTACTCTTCACAACCCACCTCAAATCCTTCTCCAAAACAGGGTAATCCAACATCTCCACACGCTCGACTCGAGTCCCGAACCTAATCACCTCCCTCAAACCGAACCTCTCGCAAAAACCGCGCAAGTACGAAAGAAGCTCCGCGTGGCCCGGGAACCTCCGCATGTCTCCTCCTTTTCGGGCCGCGAAAGGGAAGTCCGTGAAGCCCATTATCTCCCTTGGAGAGGTCAGCCTCAGGGAACTGTATATGCTGCTGTGGACCTTTGGTGGGCCTAATGGGCCTTCCTGGTCCACGTTCGGGTTGTAAAGCCACTGGCCCCCCACATCGTGGCTCTGCTCCAGGACTGCCACGTCATGGCCTTCTTTACGGAGCTCACGGGCCGCGGCCAGGCCCGCGGGCCCTGCGCCTATCACGCACACTTTCTTGGATGACGGGTTTTGCTCGATGACCATTGTGTGTGTGTGTGTGTGTGTTTTCCTTTTTTTTTTGTTTAGATAGATTATGGTGATGAGCTAGCTAGCAAGAGTGAAAGGTGGGATCATGGGGGTATTTATACGTGAAAGCAAACGAATGATTGTGTGTATTTGGGGGGATTGGGTAGTTTGGTGGAGAAGAGAAAAACGTGACACCTTTTGATCATTATTTTAAATTATTTTATCTATACGTAGGGAGTGTGTTGTGACTTGTGAGTCATCTATTGGAATCTTAGATTGAAAGGGACAAGTAATTATTTTATTATTTATTTTTATCGGTAAATATAAATTTATAAATAAAAAATGAAGTACAAAGACCAATAATCAGCAAACAAAAGCACATTAAGCAACACATGCTCGGCTCCTCACTCGCGTGTGAAGAGTCTTATAGGACAACCACATGTCGGTTGCTCACTCAAGACCCAAACCAATACAAAGAAAAATATAAGTACAAAAATTCTCCATGAAAAGGAAAATCCTATAAACTATCCTCTCATATTCGGCAAGCACATTCGGATATAACGTGAAAATTGTACGATAAACATCTTACGAATCACTAGGCTCGGAGGTTCAGATTCATTTTCAAAAATCAACCTATTTCTCGCATTCTCAATGAAGTACACGGTTGTCGCGAGCACCGCTTTCTTCAACTTTGTTTGTCAACTAGCCCTTTGTGCCTTCTTCTTAGTCCATTTAAGATTATCTTTATTGGTGACCTATTGTATTGGGTCACCCACAAAATAACAAAAAAAAAACTAAAAAAAAAAAGAAAAGAAAAAATCAAAGAAATTGCGCGACCCAGGTCACATTGTGACCTTGGGTCGCAACTTGGGCGGCAATTAATGGGAGGAGAGGAATGGACACATGTCCCTTTTTTATTGGTTAAAAATAATTTATCTTAAGATTATTGGTAGGATAAAAGAAAACTTAAATTATTGGTTTTAATTTATGTTAAAAATAAAAATAAAAATACCAAAATTCGTATTTTTTCATTCTATATATATAGAGACCATACTTGATGGATTTTGGAATACAATTGTAATTTTTATTTTTTTTACTCTTTTCTTAATCATACCTTAATTTTATCATCTCTTTCATTTTTTCTAATTTTCAAAATTACCATGTGGATCCAAATTTTGAATATTACATCGATTCTCAAAATTTAATAGAATGGTAAAATACTATTTTTTTGAAAAGAGACGAGAGGAGAGATAAATAATTTTTTATTATTAGATTGGGTTGGGTTGGGTTGTGGATAAATATAGTCTAAGAGTCTCTTTGAGTGTCAAAGGTCTATGACGGAGATTAACCCAATCCCGAATCACTCTCCAAAGGAGCATTCGAAAAATAGATGCTCCGATGATTCAACAACATCACCACAAAGAGAGCAAGTCGGGTCTTTATCAAGGAACTCCAATCGATTTTTTATGGAGACGATTGAGCACTCCCAACCAAAGAATAAAGGAGTGTTTGGGGTTGTTGCAAGGGCCCGAAACAACCCCTGCCCATGGCACCAATGTACCAAGAGGCCTTAAGAAGTCATAGCAACTTTGCGACCCATCTTGCTTACCTCGTGAACTCCAATGATGAAGCAGGGCTTTCGCGGCTTGCTCACTACCCGCTCTATCAACCAAGGCACGTCGAATCTCGAAGAGATATTTGAAAAGAGGCGAGTCATCCTTATGTATTTTCCATTCCCACACGGACTTGCCCCCTAAATAAATATTGTGGATCCATTTGTACCAGAAGGTGTCTTTTTTTGCTTGCATGTTCCGCAGTGTGCGTGCAAGAAATGCTTGGTTCTAAGCATTCAAGTTCCGAAGACCCAAGCCTCCTTCCGAGTGCGGGAGACATAAGCTATCCCAAGCTACGGGAGTGTTTTTAAATCCCCATAGAAATCTCCTACATAGTTGGATAATTTTGGTGCACACAATAGTAGGCAATGGAAAAATCTCCAACAAAAAACACTCAATACCTTGGATCACCGAGTGGATGAGTTCCACTCTACTGGTGTATGAGAGTGTATGGCCACTCCATCGGCTAAGTTGCGCCTCAATTTGCTTAACCAAACCATCAAAATGCCTAGCGGTGATACCTTCGCGGTGAGGGGGACGCCAAGGTACTGAAAGGGCATTGGACCACATTGCATGTGGGTTTCATCGAGGATTGTTGCCCGGTTAGCATTTTTTACTCCCCCCAAATAAATATTAGATTTTTGAACATTCATTTCTAGCCCCGATTTGGCTACGAAGTCTTTGAAGCAATTCATGAGGATTTGGGTCGATGATGGGTCGCCTCGGGAGAGCAGCATAAGGTCATCGACAAAGGCAAGATGTGTGATTTTGAGATGCTCACACATCGGGTGGAATTTGAAGTTCGAGCCCTCCACCGTATTGCACTTGATAATCTAGAGAGATTTCAATGCAAATCACAAAAAGGAAAGGTAAAAAGGGGTCACCTTGCCTAGATCCACGTGCCCCTTTGAAGTGTCCTTTGAGGCTCCAATTAATAGATAATGAGTAGGATGGGGTAGTGCCGCACTCCACGACCCACCTGGTGAAGATCAGTGGAAAGCCAAGACCCTCAAGCACTTGTTTCAAGAACGACCAAGAAATTGAGTCGAAGGCTTTGCGGAGGTCAATCTTAATGGTGCACCTTGGGGTGACCCGCTTCCTCATGTATTGACGAAGCAATTGTTGCATAAGGTGGATGTTGTCCGAGATACTCCTCCCCTTAACAAAAGCGGCTTGGGCCTCGTCAATGATGGAATCAAGGACTTCACTAACTCTCATAACAAGGATCTTGTAGCAAATTTTGTACAAGGTGTTATAACACGCTATTGGTCTAAAGTCCGTTACTAGCGAGGAGTGACAGGACTTTGGAACGAGTGTAAGAGTGGTGTGATTCCATTGCTTGAGAAGGGAGCCGGACCGAAAGAATTCTTGAATTGTCGACACTACATCGGCCCCGACTATGGCCCAACTCTTCAAGAAGAAGGAGGAAGTATAGCCGTCTGGACCCGGAGATTTTTCCACCGCAATGTCTCTTAAGGTGGCCTTGATATCGGCTTCGGTTACCGGGGCCAAAAGCAAACTAAGATACTCGTCGGCGATGCACGGCCCCAAATTAAGAACGTGGGGTCCACATCCTCTGTATCAATACCATTCCCAAGAGAGACTCATAGTAGCCCACAAATACCTTAGCAACTTCATCGAAGGAGTCGGTCACGGTTCCATTTTCCCGATTGATCGAGGCTATGAAATTACGCTTCGATCTCTTCTTGACTAAGGCATGGTAAAACCTGGTGCACTTGTCGTCCTTTACTTGAAAGTTGCATTTGACCTTTTGTTGGTAGAAGAGCTTTTCCGCCTTGGATAATTAAGTGCTTGAAGTCTAAGGAAAGACAACCTAGACTTGTTGTCGGTGTCATCGAGATTGTGATGGAGCGCTTGTTGAGCTAACTTGAGGGCACTCTTCGCATCCTTATCCCGAGATGAGATATGTGAGAAGGATTCTTGATTAAGCGCCTTAAGCTTGCTCTTAAGGTTCTTCAACTTTGTGCTAAGCCGGTATTGCCTCGTTCCCGCTCCACCTTGGTTCCAAATATCTTGGACACATGGCAAAAAATTCTCATGATCCGTCCACATATTAAAGAAATGCTAAGGAGTCCCTCTAGTGCTCCTAGCCTCAAAGATAGTCACGATACAAGGGAGTGATCGGAAATACCCGGGGCTAGAAAATTAGAGTGCAAAAAGAAGTCGGTTATCTCCCTATTTGAATCCACCATAACTCTATCAAACTTAGACCAAACATGATTGTTGGTCCAAGTGTGAAAAAAGCCACTCGAAGGTATATCCGACTAGTGACTCTCTCCCCTTTAATTGTCTCCTCCGGCTTGAGGATAGTATTAAAGTCACCAAGAAGCAACAAAGATATAAAAATCCCCACACGAGAGGCCTTGAGCGATTGCTATAATAATTTTCGATCACCTCTCAAATGAAGTCCATAAATAAAGCTAGCAACAAAAGAGTGGTTACTAACCTTACAATGGACCGAAGCAAAGATGACTTGTGGCAAGATGTCCTCCACCATGAGGTAAACTCTCGTAGGGTTCCAAAGAATGGCGATACGCCCACGATCAATAACGTCAAAATTATTACAAAAAGCCCAACCCAGCAACCTCCTATTCACAAAGAGAGAAAGGTGCCTATTGTCGGTTTTCGTCTCAAAAAGACCCAAAATGTCTATATTATTCTTCCGGATGAGGTAACAACCTCATCTTGCTTTAGGGGCCCGTTGAAGCCCATAATATTCTAAAAGACGATAATCATTGTGAAGAGAAAGGGTTGCCCCCTTCTTCAAGTGTGTTCCCTTGGCCGACTCTTTTCTCCCATTCAGCTTATCTCTAGGCTTTGTTGCTTGTCCCAAGTGTGAGCTAGTTTGTAATAATGCTTAAAATAAAATAATTAAAGTTGATTTGATGTAAATGTAGGAGAAAGATGATTTGAAGTGATGGTTAGTTAGGCCATCTCAAGCCCTTATCTCTACTTTAGCGCGGACTTAACTCTACTCTAGAGTAGAGTTGATATCTCCAGCCCTTATTTCTACATTTTACTCTACAAAAAATATATTATTTTTTTATTCATTTTTTATTTCAAATATATTGGTATATATGTATATTTAATCTTATATAAAATGTTAATTACTCAAATAATAAAAATATTTTTTTATTCATTTTTATTTCAAATGAATTGGTATATATATGTATATTTAATTTTGTAAAAAATATTTATTACTCAAATAATAAAAATATATTTTATTAATGCATCAATAAATAAAAAACACAAAATTATTTAACATAATAAATACATTTACTAATACAAATAATACAAAATTTATCAATAATATTATATTAAAATACATTAAACAAAAAAAAAAAAACATAGAGTAAAGCAACAGTGCAGTGCGCCACATCTTGCCAACACCATTCACATTTGTAGAGTAGCGCTAAAAACTAGCGACGCACTGGAGAGAAACATATCTGTAGTCTAGCGCAAATCCCTTCTTCTAGCGCATGGAGTGACTCTTAAAATTATGTGAGTGGATGAATAGAATTAAAGTTGATGTCGTGTGTAAGAATGTTTGATTGATAATATTTAATTATATTGATAATATTAATGATAGTGGGGTTTAGTTAAAGTTGAGTTAGAAAAAGTGAGTGAATTAAAAATGATTGCATTTTTTTGGATAAATTTGTATCCAAGCATCCTCTAAGAATTCTCTCTTCCAAGAGGTCTAGCTCCACCAAAACTCGGGCGTAATTGCACTAGTCCCCCGTTGCTGTTAATTTGTCGATAGTGATGGGCTTACCGACACAAAAGGCTAGCCAAGAGCCTAATGTGCCGTTAATTTTTTTTTGGGTTTTAGGGGTGATTGACTTGTACCCAAGGCTAAGGCAAGAAAGATGTGGGAGTTAATTTGGGGGGTCTTTGGTGAAGCATCTTTGTCAAATATAGCTGTTAACGTCCATGGAGTGCCAGTCCTCTTTTGATGATGTTGCAATTTCAATTTGCCAACTCTGGTTTCATTTATTGTCTTAGTTTTTTTTTTTTCGTCAAACAATTAATATTTACCAAACATTTACATAATATGTTAACCCAATCACCTGGTAGTCTATCAGCTATTCATTATCCTCCGAGTATCAAACTAAGTCAATTATCTATTTTATTCAGTTATAAATAAAATAGTAAGTTTAAATTTATTTTATTTGATCATAGACAAGTAGGAAGTGATTTAGTAACATTTTTATTTCGCTTTTTCATTTTTTTCTTAAATGTTAAATTTCTTATCGTGCTTGTCCTGTTATTTGTTTCCACCCACAAGTTTCTATTTATATCATGTTCGCGTTTTGTGTTGCGCAATGTATTAGATAGAATGCCTGCTTAATGTTAGAAATAAATATCTCAATCGCTATTCACCGCCCCCCATTTACTCTTTTGCCCTTAACCTTTTTTTGGATTTCATCTCTCTAAACTTTATCTCTCTAAATTTTCCGAACTTCAACGAACGATTCGAGCATAAAAAAAAATCCGAAAAAATGTCGAAAAAATTCTACGGCCTCGGCAAAGGATTCTTCTCCGACAAGGTATTTTTTTTTTTTTTTTTCGCC